GGAAAAACGAGGAGTTTCAGGGTAAGCATCACAGTACAGAGAACCTCCAAGAGCAATGGTTAACAATGAGGTGAAATGACAGCCCAACTCTGTTAGCTTTATATTCAACTACTTGGGGACATTGGAAGGCTAGCTTATACAGGGCAGGAAACATGAGATGTCCTGAGGAAGAAACAAACTCTGCATGATCTCACACTTAAAACACTATGATCTGATGGACCAGTCCACCTATTCCAAGATATGAGTGGACAGGAAATGAAACAAGAGTTAGGAACAATGTGGAGAACCCAACTCAGCTTTCACTAATCTTCACTGAGAGGAAACAATCCAGGTATCACCAGAGGAAGACATTCGAAAACAGCAAATATAAAAGGCAAAGAGTACATGAACAGGAAGACGATATCAAAACACTACAATTTAACTCAGGCCTTCTGTTCTATTTTCATTTCTATTGATGCAAAAAAAAAAAAATACGCAGACCAAAAAGCAGCTCATGGGGAGAAAAGGTTTATTTGGCTTATAATCCCGAGTAACAGACCATCATTCCTGGTCAGTGACCAAAGCAAGAGCTTCAGATAACTGCTCCCATGGTATCCACAGTCAGACTCTATCACGCTCATGTGCCTGCTTACATTAGCTGGCTTTCTTCACTGTTACACAATTTAGGGCTTAGTCCAAGCTATGGTGCTGCCCACATTCAGGGTAGGTCTTCCCACCTTGATTAACAAGAGATCCCCACAGACCTGCTCACTCAGCAACCTGACCTAGATATTTCTTCAGTCAAGGTGCTCTCCTCAGAGGAGTCTAAGTTGTCTCTGGTCGACCTTTAAATCTAACCATCATAACTTCCTAAAAGAAGGAATGGAATGGACATACACAAGCACACACACAATGTATATATGCATACAACTGAACCCAAAAGGTATATGACACCCCAAAATATGTAGCATCAAGTGGCTGGAGATGGCTCAGTGTTTAAGAATGCTTTTCTATTCCTGTAGAAGACATAGGCTTGTTTCCCAGCATGCTCATGGCAGCTAACAACAATCTGAAACTCAAATCTCAGGATTTCTTCAACAAAGAAATTTGGTCCACACAGGCATCAGGCCCTTACATGGTACACATACATTCAGTTAAAACACTCATACACATAACAAGTCACTTAGAAGAAAATGATACAGCATCAAGAAATATATTCAAGACTTGGGACACTCCAAAGTAAGTCCAGAATTTTACTGCAAAGGCATTCTCTTCACTGGATGCTAGGTCTTAGGTCTCAGAAACATCAAGAGCAGATTTAGTGCTGAACTTTCATAGGAAGTTGTGGATATGTAGCCAAGATGAAGCTAAAACAGAAACCAGCCTTGGGAACAGGGTTTACAGGCCTTAGCAGTTACATAGAAAAGCGCATTGCTACAGACATTTTCAGTCAGAAAGGGGCTGTTATAATTTGTTTATCTGCATGCTGATAAACTCAGCATCAAATGACCTCAGAAGAAAAAAGCACACTAAGAGTTTGGATGGACAGAAAGGGACACCTGATGACAGGGTAGCCAATGTCTTAAACTTCTATGCAAATCAAAAAGAAAGCAGTTTTCAAATGCCTATGACTGAAACAGTTTGCAAAATGTTTAATTTTTTTCTGTCAAATATTACAGAATCAAATTAAATTCTAAATTATTTTTACTTTTTTGTTTTAATCCGTTGTATGCTTTTATTAGAAATACAAATATTGTATATTTTCTTTTTAATTTCAAATTTTTATAACTGTATGTACTTATATAATGAATTTCACTTTTTCACTTCTCACTCACTGAAGTGCTTTTTCCTAATAAGTCACTTCATATGTTCAAAGCATCTCTCTATGTGTGAGCCCCCTGAAGAAAACTACAGTTTCCTGCTAGAGCATGACTAAGAGGTTTTTTTATCGAAGAAAGAGCAAATTATCAGATACTACAGTGAAGAAAATGATGCCCTGTTCCTAACAACTGTTAAGTGCCCAAAGTCCCTCAATTCCCACATCAAATCCGCAATGAAATGTTGATGGGCCAACCTCGTGCATATAAGCAGCTACATTGAGTTCTTGCGTGCAGAGGTTCTGCCATGTAAGAAACTGCCTTTTGGGCTGCGTATCTCTCATTCTCTGGATCTTCTACTCTGTGATCCCCTTCTTCTGTTCTGTGAACTGAACCTAAGGGTGGTCTAGCTCTCCCACTTAGTGACGAGCACCCCGTTATCTTTAAGTCTTAACACACTGCCCAGTTAATTACAACCTACTGCAGAAGAAGCTTCTCTGATTAAACTTGGGCATGTACTATAATTAAACTCTGAGTAAGTTTCTCTGAGCTTGCTTTCAGTTCACAGACAGTGGTCTACAAGCAACTCACTATTACTTGCTGGTACTCTTCAGAACTAAAACCATTAGGGTTTTTTCAGCTTATGCTTCACCCCAAAGTTCTGCCATTATTCTGAAAACAATTTAAGTCAGAATTGCATTAAATTGTGCGATTGACAGTGAGAGATCAAAATGTTGAAGGTTCTGTGCTGGTGCTAGCTGTGGATGTGTCCTAACACTCTTCTGAAACCTAAACCAAAGCATCCTCAGCTCAGCATCAGCACCGCTAGAGAACTACAGGGATTTAAGTGACAGTACACAGCTGAGGTGAAGTTACTGTGGAACCGATAGACACTAAAGGGCTGGGATCTTGTTTTTATTATTATTAATTGATTTGTACACTGAGGCAAAATAATCTAAATGAGCTATTTAAATTATTTAGAGAATGTTTTAAATTTCCAGGTATAACTCGTTTGAACTTTTCCTTAAAAGATCAATGAAATGTTTCAAACTATTTAAATTCACTACAAACCATGTTATCATGGCCTTTACAAAACAGTGAGCCTGAAAAACTTAAACAGAAAAAAATTAATAGAAGAATAAAAATATTTAGGGGAAAAATGGAAGGAAGGCGATTTTTGAGCCTAGGATTTCCACCTATGTTCTACATATTGTTTAAAGAATGCTGCAGATCTCTTGAGAGTCATTTAGTAGCAGTCTGAATTGCTGTCTTAAGAAAATACACAAAGACAGAACTGGAGAGATGGCGTAGCAGTTAACAGTGCTTGCTGCTCTTACAGAGAACATGGATTTAGTTCCTAGAATGTATGTGGTTACTAAAAACACCTCGGACTCTAATTCCAGGGAGTCTGATGCCTTCCACAGGCAATGCACACATATATGGTCCACATACACACATGCAGGCAAAGAACTCATACACATCAAATAAGCATAATAATAAATCTTAAAGTTAAAAAAGAAAGAAAGAAAGAAAAAAGCCATAAAGGATCAAATAGTCAGGAGTGTGATCTCAGGAGGCTCAGCAAACTCCAAGCCAATGAGAAATCCTCCTTTCAGAAAGTAAGTGAATGGCACCTGACAACCAACACCCCAGGTTGACTGGTCCCAGTCCCTCACCACCACCACCACCACCACCACCACACACACACACACACACACACACACACACACACACACACACACACAAACAGTCAAGGCTTTGTGGTTAGACAGAGAATGAGCAACATGAATCTGGAGGTGGAATTAGGTGCCATTAGGTTCTCAGAGAAGGACTTAATATGAAAGAAAGTATTTTTAAATGTATGCCCAACTAACCCCTTCTTCCTCAAGAAAACCTGAACACAGGAAAAACACATATGGCTTCAAGATTAATATTTTTCAGGAATGGAGTTTTAGATCTTCTATCAAACCTAACAGTAGAGACTGACAGCTACCTGAAACTTGTTACTGTGGCTTCTACAAGAGCCTTTAATGATACAGATAATACTAGGACTCCCAAAATCTCTCTTAGACACATGTTTGCACTGCACCCGAGAACAAAATGACTGTCACTTACTGACTTCCCTATCATCAAACATCATAGTGACTTACGTTTCCTCTTCAGCTTTCATTTGGAAGGCATCTTCCAACCAATCCAATAACTTGTGTGTAAACTCACTCACATCTTGCTGTGGAAAGAAGAGAGACTGATTGGTACTTGATCCTACTAGTAAAGACACTAGATGTTGCAAAGGAAAACTTGCAGGTAGTCACTACTCAGAAAACTGTCATGTGACTGTCTCATAAAATGCAACGCACTTCTATAATTTAACCAGGACATAAAGACTTTTTTAAAAAATATTATAATCGCAAGGTTTTGTTTTAGGAAACATATACACTCAAATGTAACAAATGAGATTAGGAAAAAAGACCAGTGCTTTTAGACAAATATTTCTTTCACTCATACATGCTTTTTAATCCATACCTACTTTTACCAAGCCATTGAATCTATAATTCTTTAAACCTCAAACTCATTCTACATTCGGAAACAAATAAACATCACCTACTACCATCCCTTTACTTAGACTCTGATCCCCTAACAAAAAAAAAAAAAAAGAAAAAAAGAAAATAGAAGTAAGAACAACTTACATAATGTGGCTTGAAAGAATGAGTTTTTTAAAAGAAAGAAAGAAAGAAAGAAAGAAAGAAAGAAAGAAAGAAAGAAAGAAAGAAAGAAAGGGAGGGAGGAAGAAAGAAAGGGAGAAAGAAAGAAAGACCATACATGACTAGATAGACAAATGCACATAGATAACTTGGTTTCATTTACCAAAGTAGCCTCAAGAAGAGAGTAATTACATAATAGTAATAGTAATTACTATTTTTCCACCTAGTGCTTAGATCAACTAATTTACTTAAAAAGTGTTTCTGTTAAGTCTAGGAAAAATATGTAACTCTAGCGTCACATAGTCAAACAGGACTAATATCAGGACAAAAATCTAGTTGTATCCCCTTGGGAAAAATATCGGCAGAAGAAAATTTTTACTTGCTTAGAACCTCAAAAAGTAACTTTAACTGATTATGGATCTTTGCAAAAATAACTTCATGGTGAATTCAGCTTAGATAAAAGTGATCCCCAATCCAAGAATGGCCATCTATGTGAGACATAGAACAGGAGAAACAAGGAAGCCCATGGGAATTCAGACAGAGATCAAAACTCGCCTTTTAAAGCCAAGAATACCAGAACATGACAAGAGTCAGGGAGGATGCTCCTTCTGTGAGAGAGCATGGCCCTGCCAGCATTTTAATTCCAAACCCTTGGCCTCTGGGTCTACGAATAATTTTCCATTGTTCCTGAGCCACAAGATTTAAATGAATTTGTAAATGTTCACATTCTTAAACAATTTCAATCTTGAAGATTGTAGCTAAAAATAACCATCACAAATCTTGCAAAGAATTATTTCATGTCCTTTTATATAACCCATCTAAAATTTACAAGTACAATTACAATTACAAAATTTTAGCAGAGTTCTTTACGATGAACAAGAGAGGTCTTCACTGTAATAAAGCACTTAGGAGCTGTGGGGGAAGGGACGAGTACAGTTGACAGTAGCCCACACACTAAAGAATCACCCTTAAGGCAGTGTCATGATTACAGTCATGTCATATTCTGGAGGAATGTAAAACACAAGTAAAAGATATTTAAAAACTAATCACAATACACTAACTCACTAATGTGTGTGTCAGAAAAATCACATCTGTACCAAAGTAACTGATATGCATCTACTTTTAAAGACTTCTCAGAAAAAAAATAAAGAAGCAACAATCATATAAGCATTCCACACATGCAAAGCAAAGACATTCACACTACAGCATTCACAAGCACAGAGCATCGAAGTCCAAGCCATATACATCCATGAGGACTTTCACTCTCAGGGAAGAGTCCCACATCTGCTTCACCTTTAAGTGGTAACATAAAAAAGATAGATGGCATCTGTAGAAAGTAGAAGAAAAGTGAATGCGGCAAGCATACAGAAGAAAACGTGTCAGAGAATGGAAGTGAGCTTGTGCAAAATTAATTTGTACAGAGAATGGGGCTCTGGAGCCTCACTACCCCCAGGTGGGCTCAGGAGCCTCTTCCATGTGTACCTATGACAGCACTTGAGTGCTGCCTTCTTTTTTAATATTTATTATTTTCTACAACCATGTGTGCTCCTGCCTACAATGTTGGTCTCTATGACTTTTCAATTATCAATGCTGGTTTACAAGCACTGTGTTTTTAGGAGAAATCATCTCAAACATTGTTTATACCAAATGTTATACCAAAAGGGGACTATGATTATACCATTAAAAGCAAGAAAAATAACTAAGGCAGTATTTAAAAAAAATACTTATAGGTAATTAAAGAAAACTATGCTCTATCAGCTAGAGCAGGGTCAAGAAAATATATAATTTATTGGCATTTGGATTATCACACGTTTGTTTTAAATTGTTACTTATGGGGTTGGAGAGATGACCTAGAAATTAAGAGAACTGACTACCCTTGCAGAGGACCCAGATTCAATTTCCAACATCTACATGGTGGCTCTAAACCATCTGTAATGATCCAGGATAGCCAATGTCCTACTCTAGCCTCCAGGCACACAATAGACACCCAATACGTGCAATACAACCTCCCATACACATAACATTTTAACTAATTTTATATGAATATTCTTAATTTTGTTGTTTTTCCTTATCAGTTTCCATCATTCTACAAATTACCCATGCACTTATCTTATTACCACCAATTTGTTCACTCTTTGCTTAATTTAGATTTTTTTTTGAAAGAGTAAAATAATGATTCAATGGCTTCAAGTTAAAGTTTAGTAATGCCATCCTAAATCAACAGACACCCTTGGAAAAGAGGACGCAGACTTCTAAGGTTAAGTTAAAACAGAAGGTTAAGAGAAAGCAAGCTACCTGCTGTGAGTCATTTGATTTGAAGGCATCCTTCAGAATCTCAACTGCTCTAGATGGATCAACATATTTCCGCTTGGTACCAACAAGAAGTGCAAACAGATACCTCAATTCCCGCATAAAGGGCAAATTTCGATGTTCCTGCAGAGAGAAGAAAACAGAAAAAAAGGAAAAAAAAACAACCCAATAAAATCAGCAAACTCTTCACTGACTAACAGATACTTCAACAGTATCCATAAAGCAAAGGGCATCTATTAGGATGAATTAAAACGAGCATCAGAGAGCAAACTCAAAGGAGGTAAGAGCTACGACAGAGGACCTCAAGCTAGCCTTACAATTTCTGCATAAACGCCATACATTCATAGCAAATTATGTCACTACCCAGCCAAGAATATCCACCTCATTTAGGTCTGTTCATTATAATCTTCCATTCATCAGGGTGCAGCTGCTACTGACAAGGGCAACAAGAAGGGCCAATGTTCAGTGAGGGCTCAGCACACCAGGCACCATCTGAGTGCTGTACTCCAGTAATCCCATTTAAACAAAGGACCCTGCTCATCCAGGAGCCCTCCAGACCCCTCCAGGGCAACAGAGCCTCCAAACTCCACATCTACTGGAACCAGTGCTTTGAATAAGGACCACCAACTGCCACTTGTCATACAATGATCCTGATTATTAGACTAATATTAAGGCTCTGTCTAATCCTTACTTAATGTCCCTTCATGTCCTAATAAACACTAATACCCATTTATATATACTACTTTATACTTATTAATATAATATAATTATTTCAGACATTTATTTTAGAAACTATAAGGTTTAGTATAAACTTATTGTAATTACTGCAATTTTTCAATTTAATTGTTTAGTAAGTATGTTAGTAAAAGCATTAGTCAGATCACACCCAGACATGAAATCTTAATTTTATTCTAAGATTACACACTTCTCAATGATCACAATATATCTTCTCTCTTTTTTTGCCACACAAAGCAGGTATTCAATTCTTACTGGTTGATTATATCCAACCTTCTGAGGAAAAAAGCTTTTAGTATTTATTTTAAAGCAAAACGAAAAAAATTCTTGAAATGATTTTAGTAATGCAGAAATTCAGTTCTCATAATAATAGTCTTTGCAACAGCAATTTTAGCATACATCTTAAAAATACTATTAAATATGGGAAGGTTTTTAATTTGCATAATTGGTATTTCTTTAGCAATATCAATATAGATAATTTTAAACAACTGACATTCAGAGTAATGAAGCCTACATAGAAACCATTGTTCTCTCAATGCACTATATGGTAGTCCTGAGAAACAAATAGTAATTCAAAGATTTGCTTAATCTCCAAACTATGTCCACGACTAAAGAATTCTCATATACAATAATTCTAAAATAGAATTTCTCAACCATAAAGAACTCCAAATAGCACTTACATAAATATAATATGTTCTATTAGCAGTAATAAGACAAAAGACAAAACATGTACATGGAAACGTAATCCATTTTCCTGTATTACTTTTAACTCTTTCAACAACTGCACTATATAAGATAACTTTTAAAAGTATAAACACTATAAAATTTAATCTACACAATAATTTCCAAGAATACCCTGTTTCTTGACATCCATTATCATTTCTTTATTATCAATCTGGCCGTGACAAATGAAGGTACTCCAGATCAAGTATAAGGATGTAAATAATATTTTTTAATCAAAGACATTCTACCAAGGTTATTTGGAAAGTAAAATCTTATGAAACATTTATCTCAGCTCATACCTGCAGCTAGAAAAACCTGACTATCAAAAGACATAACTTTACACAATAAAACAGAACAACTACTCTGACTAAATTATAAAAAAACAGGCACGCATCAAAACATCAACACTACTTTTATTTACTTTTGTAAACAGGCTTGTATTGTGCATGAGCTATAGCACAAGTCTGTGGTATTGCACTGTAGTTTAAGTACAACAATTTTATCCAAGATGCTCTTCAGCTGCTGCTTAAAATAATGTAAAAACTCATGTGAAGACACACACTTTCATTCTTTTATAAAAACTCTGGGGGCCTTGGTGTATTGTCAGCGCAAAGAAATTCTTTATGTGGGACACAATGATCCACCAGTTTTCAGATACCAAGTATCCAATACACAAAATGTATCAACAGTTAAAATAACAGTATACAGTTCTATACTAACCTTTATCTGAAATATCAACTGACTTTTAATGCATCCTACTTCTTATTTAAAATGTATGAAAAGTTTGTAGGAAGCTTTATTTTCTTAAAAAGATCATTTTACCAGTGGATGCAAATGGCATCCCTGCAATAAGGTCAAATCAATACCAGGTATATTCTGTATTCTAACAAATTGGTCTTTAAGTTCAATGCAATATCAGCATGTCATGAATTCAATGCAAATTCACTATTTAAAGAAAATGGCTAATGTTATATGGAAACCTATAAAACAAAAATTATCTTTCATTATCTCAAATTAATTTAACAAAATCTCTGGCTGACAATTCACCATAATTGTGACACTGGTTTTACAGGTATCAAGCTATGGTGGTCTCTGCTGTTACCATGCTGTATTAAAGACATTCATTTATCAAACCTTATGTAAATTTTCTTCTGCATAATTGTCTTTCAAAGAATAGAAGCAGTAACTCTCCCTCCACTGCAAGAAATAAACTTCTCTAGGATGGGCTCATTCGCACTCCTATGGTGTGCGCTCATGACATACACCTCTAGGTTACTCTCCTTATAGGGTGCTCCTTCAATGTGTGCTCAACACACATCCTCTAGCATGTGCTGAGTACCCCAAAAGACCTCACAAGTAGCTCTGATATAGAAACACTGAGAATGACTGGTTTTAAATAAAGTTACACAACAGACTTGGTTTTGTTCAAACTGTGAAAAACAAGAAACTGGAGTTCCATATCATAGTAAAATGAAAGAAATAAAAGGTAAACACAACTCACACATCTACAGTTGCAAGTAATTCTAACTAGTGGCATATAAATTATGCACGCCTTCTACCAGGACTTGAGAAGGGAGAATCGATACCAACGTGATACGAACAGGCAGCAGTCCAAAACTTCCCTTCAAAACTGTTACACTTGAAGAGCTTTGCCCTTAGAAACAGTGATCACCAGAGTGATCCCAGGCCTTTGTTTATTGCCTTGCTTGTTCTTTGACTATTTGTGTTTATTGTCTTGCTTGTTCCTTGACTATTTGCATCTATTGTATTGCTAGTTCCTCAACCTAAAACAGACCTTAATACTTGCATGTAATTAAAATGGTATAAAAGCAAAAAGGTGGAGGGAGGTGGGATGGTGGTTTTGGGGGGGAGGGGAATGGGTAAAGGGGATGACATCTAAAATGCAAATAAATAAAATATCCAATAAAAAAGGAGAGCTTTGCTTCATTTCTCTAGCAGTATAGAGTTGACAAATCACCCTGATTCCCCTTTAAAATGTATTTGTTCTTTACCCTGACCCCTTCCAAAAATTACAACTTAAAGGTTGGCTTTCCTTCAGGCTTTATTTCCTCTGGTGTGCATCATAAATATTTCATGTATTTGCAGAAAAAAATGGTTTTAAAAATTAAACACTAAAAGGAAAATGTAACTAAATAATTTATCACTGTAACAATGGGTCACACAAAGTTCAGTACATCACTGAAACCTAAGACTTCATCTCCTTTGTCTCTACAGCCCATGTCTTCAGGGCCACTGGCTTTTTACTGGAAGGTACTCGATATCTGCATCAATCCCCTACACAAAGTTTTTACTCGTTAAGTAGAAATGTATGCAGACAAATCAGCCCAATTTTTATTAAAATTGAATTTTTAAAATGTATAAAAACTAAAACTTTCTTTAACAAATAAGATGACAATACTGCATAAGAGACACTTTTAAGTGCTTTGCATGCTTATCCTTTAAGCTGCCCAGTCCCTCTATGTCTCTACTGTCTCCACTACAGAGAAGGAAATCCCAGAAAGAAGTGCTGGACCATAGCTAAAACCCAAGCAATCAGACCCTGGAGTCTGCTCTCTCATGTCAACCTCAACTGCCCAACGCTAACCTCCAGTACAGGAGGGTAAGTTCGCCCTGGCAAAGAGCACACAACCCAGTTTTAAAGGATTGCTCTGGATGATTAGGTGAAGAGAAACGTTGATGCTGACAAGAGTTTTGAGGAGTCAATTTAGGGATGACCTAACTCAGAGCATGTCATCTATGAATGTATTCTAACTTGACCGGCTAAAAGGCGAGGGGTCCTAACCTGAGCACGTGGAACTTCTATTCTACTATGACGCCCAGAAGAAGACACTTCACATTTATGATATAGAAATAGGGATAGGAAGTTACTGTAATAGAGATAAATGATATAACATTAAAATTTGAACAGTTTCAGATTTAATAAAGAAGAGCTTCCAAAATACTTAGAAAAAAACATTAGGACCATAATACGTGGCTTTTAAAGTCTTTTATAATTTTACCTTTTGGTTTCGGGGTAAATCTTGAGCATTTGATGGAGGCTTGTAATTCAGAACTAATCTTCTAAATTCCAAAAGATTGAATAATGACTGAAAAAGAACAATTTAAGATACCTAAGAGAAAATTCTGTTAATGGAATTGTGAATATCACTGTTATCAAGGCTCATTATTGACAATTCTACTACTTGTATAAAGAACTGTTGGAATTAGCACAAGAATGGCTTTTTCATATGAAAAGTCCTTTTATATATCCTAAAATAGTGTTCTCATTTAAAAAATAATTTTGGATTAGGGTTTCAGTGAATTAATCCCAAAGTCTTTTGCATGCAAGGCAACTGCCCTAACCACTATGCTACATTTAGTTCCAATGTATTACTGTGGCTAATTAACATTTATCTTACATGTAAAATAAAAAATTATACAAGGAAAACTTTGAAAATCATACAATGTCTTACTTATTGAAAGCTGTTTATGCTACTATGTCATGAACATGAAGTTTTTTAAAAATAAAATGAATAAAATACAGTAGAAAATGTTTACACATGTTCTATTTCAGACTATGTACTTAGAAAAATTGAGAACAAACCAACTTTTTCCTCAGATGCTCTATGATAGAGATACAAAATGTTATATATTCTCTTGACTGCCAAGGAAACACAGCCTAGGAGAAAAATATATAACAGTAAAAATAGAATAATGCAAAAGTACTTAATAGGACAGGCACTCATTAAAGGCCTGCTGGGATTTTTTATTTTTATTTTATTTTATTTTATTTTTATTTTTTATTTTTTGGCTTTTCAAGACAGGGTTTCTCTGTGTAGCTTTCTCTGTGTAGCTCTGGCTGTCCTGGAACTCACTCTGTAGACCAGGCCAGCCTCGAACTTAGAAATCCACCTGCCTCTGCCTCCCAAGTGCTGGGATTAAAGGCGTGCGCCACCACCGCCCGGCTTGGCATGGGGTTTTTATTGGTGTTTTTGTTGCTGGAAATTGAACCAGGGCAGTGGACTTTCACTACCACTAAGTTGAGTCAGTAACCACAGGAGTGTTTACAAAAAGGTACTTTGTAATCCGCACTATCATCATAACAATTATTCAAAATGAAAAAAATGTTTAGTACATACCAGAACACACACTTAATAAATACAAATTCATCCAAACATCTCACGAGTCTCCTTATGAATACTTTATATACATGTAGGTATGCTACAAGTTTTACAGTATAACTATACTTCCTTGTGAGTCACATTTGATACAGTATATAAACTTACAGGAGCATCAACAATGTATTAACTTTTATGAAATGTAAATTGGATTACTTTGTAGAGCATAAAAGTAGAATCACAAATCAATGATAACAAATTATTTCTTTAAGTAGATAAAGTTTTGGTAAACCTGGCTCATCAGTTGTCTAAAAAACACATAAACAAAAACAAAACAGTAACACTAAAGCAAATGAAAAACCAGGAGCTGGACAAATAGAAAAACTGGAAAGCTGAAGATGAATGGCAAAAATTACTTTCTAACAGAAACCATAGGACACGAAACAGGATCTGTGATAACTTACAACCTGTCTCCTCTTTTCTTTGTCCTTTGTTTGGTTGTTTTGTTTTGTTTTTATTTTGTTTTGTTTAGTTTTGTTTTGTTTTGTTTTGTTTTGTGGCGAGTTGTATTGTATAGCCCTGGCTGATCTGAGACAGGCTGGATTTGAATTCAGAGAGATCCATACACATGCTTCTGCTTCCTGAGTGCTGAGATAAAGCCCTGTGCAACTGATGCCCAGATAAGTTGTTGTGTGATAAGTGTTGTTGTTGTGTATGGTTTGCTTTGTTGTTCTTCTGTTTTGCTTTGGTTTTGACTTCCTTTTCTCTGTAGAGCCCGGGCCATCCTTGAACTGGAATTATAGATGAGAGTGGCCTTGAACTCAACAGATCTGCCTGCCTCTGCCTCCTGAGTGCTAGAATTAAGGATGGTGAGCCATCATCCACCAGCCTCTAGTGATGATTTTTTAATTAAATATTATGAGCACATAAAATAATTCATTTTCTATTCTTGTTATTTTTGTTCCTTTGAGAAGGTATCTTGCATGCCACCCAGGATGGCTCTAACTACTAAACTCTAATGATTCGTCTGAGTGCGCCACTTGAAAAAACGGGACCCCAGGAGCACAGCATTGTGCCTATCTCATTTATTCATACATTTACAAGTACTTATGGAATACACATAATGCATGCTAGAGGACAAAGAAGAAAGGGTACCTCATCTTAGGTGAGGTGGATCACCATTCAATTGTGAATTAAATGGGTGACAGAGAAGTATGAATCAGAGAGGAAAGGAAAAGAGCCTTACGTCAGAACCTAAGCAGAAAGTGAGATGTCTAAAGCCAGAGTTTAAACAGATAAAAAGGATTTGAGCCCTGTAGCAAGAGTAAGGCAATGAGACAGGGAAGGGGAATATGGAAAACAGAGCTTCTAGATGTGTGAAACATCAAAAAGAGAGATGAGCAAGCATCACAGACCCATCCACACACAGCGGAAGACTGGTGCACAGCAAGGACTCGCTGGAATATTTCAAGAATAAAATTCTCAGTGATGTCTAAGAAGGGGATAACAAGGTGGTGGCCTTGAGAAATAGAGTAGAGGAAGAATGCTTGAGGCAAGAATTATAGAAATGGAATAAAGCTTAAGGTGGAAGTCTGAACCACTGTGAAGAATTGAGGGAACACTGCAAAAAACAATGAGAACCCCGTTACCGTGCTTTGAACTTCCTTTGGAGTGGGTATATAAGAAACTGCTTTTATTCCATTTTATAGATATTTATATTTCATAGATGGCAAGTTCATTTTTCTAGCACATTAAAGGGCCTGTCCCCTGAGAAGCAGCGGGGGCTATGTGCTAATCTGCAGAGGGGACACATTCCCCTTCATCTTGTCTCACAGAATTCTGCAAGCTGACTGAGCTCTGCCTCTGAGTTCAATTTTGGAACTGAAACTCTACAGAGCACTTATGTCAGTTTGAAGGAATTCCAGTCAACTTTAAAAATTCCAATAAAAGCTTTGAATGCTAGTGGAAACAATTGTAACTGAAAAGTTACATTTGTAAGTAAGTAGTCACAGCTCAGCTCACACCTGAGAAGAAAGCAGTGTCAGAAAAAGAAAAAAATAAAGATTATAATTACTAAACATAAAAACAAAAAGCTCCTTGAAATTATGGTGAACACTGAAGATACAGTTAAAAATATAACTTTGAGTGAACCTGTGACATTTGCTACCTACACAGATTGCCACAGTGTGACGATTCATGTTTTCTCTAAAAGTCACTTTTATTATAATGGTGGTGACAATCTAGCCTTCTAAAGGTAGAAAATTATCTGTATGGAGTGTTTAGGCTTCTGCTAGAGAAATCAAATGTTCTTCAGTAACTAAATTTGCTGTCATGGGTGTAGTCACTACTAGACTCAAATAAAAAAATAAAATTAATAAAATTACTAGTTTCTATTAAGGAAAAATAAGTCACTCCTTTTTCTAATATGTTTTCTTCATACACACACACACACACACACACACACACAAGCTTTGTCATCTAGTGAACTTAGGATAGGTGGATGGTTTCTCTGTCACATTAAACTGAAATAGAAAAAGAACTTATTAATATAAGATGGAGATCCTTGTCTCTGTTAATTTATTACTCCAAATGGGAATTTCCTGTGAATATTGTCAGAAGTAAACAGCATTTATCTAGCTAATAAATACTGCTTTTGTAGGACTTCTCTTCTTGAAGATCTCAGTGACAAACGCCTGACCATGGAGAAGCATTAGGGAGTGCTGTGTAGACGGCAGGCCAACACTTTTAGGAACAGTCGATCAAAGCTTTACGTCTGCTCTTCATGGGTCAAAATTTCTAAACTCTACCACTACTATACGAGAGAAGAGGAACCATCTATAAAGACTATCCTAAACAACTTGTAATGTCTACAGGATTCCAAAGTATCAAGTAAATGTTAACTATTGCTTTGGACATGTATATGAATGAAAAATTCAGAATGAAGCCTACTGTTGAAGAATTGCTACCTACTCATAGCAATGCAGACATTTCCTAGACTGTTAATATATTAGAAAAGCAAGTAATGAGCCATCTTCTTTATCAGTGTTTATTATAACATAATGAGAATGAGGCGTAAGTCCAGAAAACCAAAGGAAATCTACTTAAACTGCACATGTGCCAGAAGCGAAGGAGGTGGGGCTTGAAACCTATACTACACTTGGTAGAAAAAACGTGTTAAAATCACAGATTAGTCACCTAGCAATGACAGACACCAAGCTCACAGAAAATGAACGGTGTGAAATACTTCTGACACTGTGTGCAAGCTGGAGTAATCATAAAAAAAACAGACTCAGGAAACTACAAAGTAGTCTTTTTGAGCATAAAAACAAATGGCACATATGCCCAATGAATTTTTAAAAGTTCTTATTAGGAATAACATTTTAATTCTCCTATGAAACTTATTAAACTAAACAAAATATTTAGAGAATATGTATTTAAATTTGAAATTAGATTATTCATACCAACAGAGAATTAAAGAATTACGGCAATCATCATTATTATGTAAAAAACTAAAATTCAGAGATCACACTAAATATATTACAAAAAAATTATTCCTTGTTGAGAAGATAATGAGTATCTGTATTTACAAACATCTCCTATTTTGGAGAAAGCTAACAAAACATTTCTCAAGAATTGTCTAAAGCAAAAATAGAATGTGTTAATCTTGATTTACCAATATTTATTCTTTTTAGCATTCTCACATATGTACTGTGATATATTTGCACATCAACACCAGCCTCAAACAAAATGTCTCTTTAAAGAATCAATTTGTAATTATTTACATTATTTATTACATGTAGTCATATAAAAATATGACTATTTCCATTATATATATAAATAAGTCTGATCTGAGTCACAAAAAGTTAACTCTAATTTCCTACCTTGATTATAATTATTCTCTATACTTTCAGAGAAATACCCACAAAATTATCTTCTTTCTACCTCTTCTGGAAGAATAAAAACTGCACCAATTCCTAACAGCAAGAAACCAGGAGAAATTAATCTTACATAACTGGAAGGAAATAAGTTATATTCTACTGAAAGCTTCATGGCAGGGATTGTGCTATATGCCTATAAACTGAGTACTGAGGTTAGCCTAGGCTATATTTGAATATCTTGTTTGAAAATTAAACTTAAAAAAAAAACTTTTTTAAAATAATGAAATTTTTATTTAGCCAAGTGTGATATCTCATACCCTAGCACTCAAAGCTGAGGTAGCAGGTCATAATTTCTGGTCTAGTCTGAACTAATCTGAATAAGAACCAGTCTAAAACAAAGAAAAGGAAATAACAACAACAAAAACAAACAAGCAAACAAAGAACAACAAAAGGTACACTGGGAATTTTAAAGATAAGGTGGTCTAGGAGATGCTGAAATCAAGCTACTTTATGCCACATATATGAAAATCCGACCTGAGTTTCTACTTAAAATGTAACAAGAAACATCATGGCCCACCCCATTGCTCCTCTGGCCCACTGACTAAGAGCTGAATCTCGACCCTTACCTGAATAACTGCACTAAACCAGCAGGTGTTGCCGACGTTCTTCAGACCGACTGGAGCTTTATCTTGTCTTTTTCTGTCATAAGGGTTTCGAGAATCCCTCCAAACCTCTATAGGTGTTCTCTTCATACAGGCTTTATTTTCTGCTATGCTGGCTTCAAGAACTCTTAAGAAATGAAAATACAGTGTTGAAAAAGTTTTACACTATCACAGAACCCTCTAAGCAACACTATAGGATGAGAGAACTCTAAGGATTGGTTACACAGCTCTAATGTGTTCATGGACATGATACGTGATGCTGACATTACTCGAGGAGCAGCTGGATGTCATTAAGATCATGACAGTGGCAATAACCAACAGGGCAAGTGAAGTAAAGATTATTTCCTAAGAAAATTCAAACACAAAGTCTCAATCAGATTAGCAATATAATTACAATTCTTAGCTACACACACACACACACACACACACACACATGGTGAAGGTGAAGATTAGTCTATAAATGAGACTGTGGTCCTAGGAAAGTACAGTGAAGATGATACTTCCTTTATCTCAGTGGCCTTAAGTGAAGATGAAACTTCCTTTGCCTCAGTGGCCTTACAGCCACTGTGTTACGGCCTAACACTGGGCATGTTTGGTGCTGATGCAGCATAGACAAACCTACTGTACATCCTTAAATGTACAGCTGTTGTGATTATACAGAGCTGGAGCAACTATGCCCACAGCACTCAGCAACTCCAACGCCACATTCACACTTTCAATATGCTAGTATATGCCATTGTTTTATAGTATTCATACCCTATTACACAGCATACTCTAAAGATGAATGCCATAGTAGTCTGCCAGAAGACTCACATGTCCCATGTTTGTCTCTTGACTACATCAAGGGGACGCTTGGAGCTGTTAATTGAAGATGTGTGACATCTAGGTTTCTGTAAGCACATTCTAATGAAATTCCCTATTCACCCCTTTCTTAGAACTATCCCAAAGTCAACCAGTTTGTAGCTTAAGTTTACATTGTTTTAGTTAGAAAACACTGACATAAGCTGCAAAGACAACTTTGTTGGTAAGAGGAAGTACTAACATGACCAATGACATGGTTTTTATCCTTAGTTCTGCAATAAATAGATGATAGACAGACAGAGAGACAGACACTGTTACTCAGATATACACATTTATCAGTAGAAGTAGGAGAATTTCAAGTCACCGCTGGATACACAATAAGACCCTGTCTCAAATTTTTCAAGGGAACAAACATGTAAACAAGCAGCAGGGATTACAAGTGGAGAGAAGCCTCATACCCTAGCAATGTGCATTTGTGAGGAAGCAATGTAAATATAAACCCAATAACCACTCAGTCATTCTCAGAACAAAAGCTAATCTCACAACCAAACCAGCAAGAAAACACCAAACACAGAATTACTGATGCTAATCTGGGATATAAAATTCTAGATAATTTCATATATGCTAATATAAATTGATATAAACGAAAGTCTATGTGCACTTTTAACTGCATTTTCAGCAAGTATAACTTTTATTTTATAGCACCCACATCACATTGATGAACCCAAGGTCCCAGAGAGAGACTGTCTCAAAACAAAAAGACAGCTTCTAAAAAAAAAAAAAACCACACTCAGAGCTGGCCTTTAGCCTCTACGCACAGGAACATATGAACATGCTTATGTACATGCAAAGGCATTAAAAAGTATCACTACCCAACACAATTATATACCATATGTCCAAGACATTTACCATTGGATCATAAAAAAAACAAAAAAAAAAACAAAAAAAAAAACAGATTTCTGAGTTCAAGGCCAGCCTGGTCTACAGAGTGAGTTCTAGGACAGCCAGGGCTACACAGAGAAACCCTGTCTCGAAAAAACAAAAAACAAAAAAACAAAAAAAAAAACAAAACAAAAAAAAACTCAACTCCTGCAATAAATTTCTTGTAATAAATTTCTAAAAGTGAGCTGGACAGAATATTCAACTGATTACAGAAGAAAACAAAAAAAAATTAAAAAAATAAATTTGTGACAAAATTATGCGCTTCACAATTATAAAATAAAGTTTTAGAACTAAATGATGTTTTATTGCATAAAGCATAGAAATGCAGGCATATGTTAATGACTTATTCAGAATAAAGTATATCTTATTGACCTTTAATTTAAAATCTTTCTGGAATATAGAAGTATTCAAACATACACACACACACACAGAGGGTGGGAGGGAAGGAGGGAGGGAGGGAGGGAGGGAGGGAGAGAGAGGGGGGGGCAGACAGAGAGAGGCTGTGTACAAACTGTCCTTACCTACTGATGGCTTGCTCTTCATCAGTTATGCCAGTCTCCCTGAATGCCCTGTTTGATTCCGCCAAACTCAAAGCAATTGCTCTCTGAAGATCATCTTTGTCATCTCCAGTGAGATCAATTACATCTGAAAAGCAAATGATCTTTCAGCCAAATGAAAATGAACTATCACAGAGATTTTATGCCTAATAAACCTTGGCAGGCTAAAAGCCAGAAGCAAGTTAATTCTCTATTTTTGTAAGAATGAATATATCTTTAACAATTCAAACATGGCTAACATTAAGTACTCTCAATAAGTTCATAGTTTCTTCTGTAACAAAAAAAGAAAAGTCTTGTTGATTTACTATGCAACCTCTTATTAAAAGCAAGTAAGCAGAAAGACTGCTGGGAGTATGGCTTATCAATAAAAAACAGAGTAAGCACCTACCAAACATTTACGTTGGTGCTCTCTGATTTATGGGTTTATTATACTGACTGACAACAGCATAAGGCTGTGTGTACACGCATGTGAATGCGGGTGTGTGTGTGTGAGTGCATGCATGTGTTTGTTCTACAGTCTGTCAGAATAAGCCGTACTCTCAAAAGTCGTTATCTCTAATGAAGGATGTAGAAAAGGAAGATGTAAGGAGCTGTCACTTTTCATTTTTTACACTTCAGTACTATATGATTAATTTAGGACATATGTTCTTTCCACTGAAAACAAGAATTTTACTTACACAGACTTATGCAAATGAACATATTCCCCCCATTTCTTAAAGGAGAACTTGAACATTACAAGGTCTACTTCTATATCCAATGAATAAAACCTGCATATTTTATTAACTTCAGTAAAATATGCTCACTGCAGTTCTGTAACCAGTACTGGTCAATTTCCTTGACAGTGAAAATTATGATGATGAATACTATTATTACAATTTAAGCAATGAAATGAAGTAGTCCAATGAAAAAAAGAATGGGTAATCAGAATTGTCTTCATGTTTTGGACACAATTTATATTCACGTTCCTTGAACTTTAAATGTGTTTGAAATATTACATGAGAAAAAAGAAGACAAAAAAGTGAGAACAGCCGTCTTAATTTTATCATTGCAGTCTGACAATTACAAAAATCTTTTTATTGTTACCTACCACTTTTTCTCCAAGAGGAGCATACAAGAACTTTTAAAATAGTAGAAATAGTTGCTATAGAAAGTCTTCTTTAAATGACCTCATATACAATAAAAGCCCATAAAAATACAGTTAAGTCCTGCTACAAAGTATTTAATCACAGCTGGAAAAATAGGTCAACTCTATAGTACAGAGTCATAGGGTACAGTAGCTCGAATGAAGGGACATCTCACATGCCATCAAGTACAAGGTTTCACAGGGCTGAGCACTTGGTCCTCAGGACACAGCTAAGGAGAGTGTGGCTGTAAAGAGGGCAGCGCTATATGGATGGAGCTATAAAAGGACAGAGCTATAAGAGGGCAGAGCTATAAGAGAGCAGAGCTATGAGAGAGCAGAGCTATAAGGAGGCAGAGCTATAAGAAGTCAGAGCTATAAGAAGGTCGAGCTTCCCAGTCCAGACTGAGGAATGGAGAAGAGGATGGATCTAGGTGGTGTGAAATGTATCACAAAACAAGAGCCATCCCAGTAATTAGAATGGCAAGAACCCGGAGAGCGATGGAGAGGAAATAAGTAGGAAAAACCCCAAGAAAGTAGAAAGTTAAGCTCTAGGAACAGGATCAGTTAGTGCATGAATTCTAGTCCCTCATACTTCTATTGCGTTTCCCTCACAAAACAAACCTGTCTCCCATATTCACTTGCAAAGAAGATTATGAGTAAAATTTGGGTCCCATGAATACCATTACTAACAGGAGACTATGAAGGCAGAAGCAACAGTGGCCATGATCCTATTGCTGCTGCTTTTGCCAGTGTCTTTAATGGATATGTAGGTACTGTTCTACAGTAGCATTCCAGTAGCCAGTGTCTAACTTCAAGAACCTCACTCAGAGAGTGAAGCCAGTATCCTCTTAGCATTCCAATATCCAGGCAGAGCCAAGTAGATGCTAAGCATCTAGCTTTCTATCCACTAAACCAAAGCTACAGTAAGAAGTATGGACTTGATCAGAGCCACCTACCCTGCAGGCTGTTTTCTTGGTGTGACTGAGGAATTAGAAGCACTGTGAGGGTCAGTCCTGCAATGATCTCTAGTCACTGCAGAAGACTAAGCTCAAGTCCCCTCCCTCGATTGCATGCAAGATGTTTTTAGATCACTTGGATGAAATTCCTTCTGTAAAATTACAGAGCATATTTGAGGTCTCATACCTAGCTGACTAGAAAACTACTTAGAAAGAGTACTAAGTTATACTTGTACTCTTTCATGATCTATGAATTGGAGTTCACTAAACACAAAAGCAAACCATAAGAAAGAATGGCACAGTTTGACCTATTCCATGACTGTAAGGATAAGAACGGTACACAGGCCCCAAGTCTAAATCTTTTGTTTCTTACATCCCACTTTCCCCACAGTCATTTCTTCAAGTGTGATCGACTCATCCTAACAGACACTTTCAAGAAGAGATGAGGAGTCCTGAGGGCAAAGACGATGATCACAATATATGGGTATATAATCCATCTGCTGCTGTTGATATTTGCCATGCTGATGCAGAGCAAAAGGAGCAAAGTATTGCATCTTAGCACAAATCAAGGCACCAGTTCCAAAGTGGAATTTCCTTTATTACTTATAAATAGGCACAATTCTTTTAAAAAATCAGCTTCTCTTATGAGTTATAACTTTGATCAAAAAAGGTAATTTAACTAAACATCGAATCTTAATTCACAGGGTTCTCAAATTGTTAATGACTAAAAATGTACAAAGTATGTATGGCAAAGCCTGGTAACAATGCCTGTCCAAGGCTGCAGCTGCAAACTTAGTATTCTTCATGCCATATTTAGTTGAAAGAACAAATGACATACTACAAAGTGTGAATGCTCAAACTTCAATTTCACCAGTCACTGCAGAGTAACTGTTGTTAATGACTGAGAAGAAACTTTCAACCAAGCTCAGAATGTTGGAAAAAAAAAAATGTGTTTCAATTAGTATGATCCTGATTAGTATGATAGTGTCACGGAACCTAAGGCTTTTCTGCTAAGGCCAGTTCATAACCTGCTAACAACTTGGTATTTTAATGTAGTATTCTTTCATAATATTGACGGACCTACAATTATCAATGCCGTCTTACAGAATCATGTATGGGTAAGAGAGCCATTCAAATAGGAAGGTAGTGGTAGATTTTAATATAGAATAGTACCATAGGAAAAGCAATTAAGGATTATCACAGACACGAGTGTGACTGGATTTATACCACAACTCACCCTTCAGAAATTAAGAATCACCAAGTTTTGGGGCAGTAACATAATATCTGTTACTATTTAAATAATCAGTTAAAACCCTCCTCCTTTTTACAAATGAACATCTGTATAAAGTCAGACCTTCTTCACATAAAGAACCAAGGCAGCTTACTCCAGCAGAACGCAGTCCCTCCAACACAGGTCTGAGATCCCAGGTCTTCTCCAACACCATACATGCGAGACACTTGCAGCCGAGGAAAGCATGTACCCTTTCGCTAATTTATTTCAGAAATATACTTTATACAAAATGTTTACATAAACATAATAGGTTGCTATTTTGGTAAAAATTAATTTTCTAAGCTTCTCTGAATCTCAAGTTCTACCTCAGAAAAATTATACATCAACAAAGCACTTTGAAGTGCATCAAAAATTTGTGAGTTTATAGGAGTCCTGAGATCAAAAGTGTGCCTCGTTATTAAATACAAACATGTCCTCTAATACTTTTGTCTGGCTAGGATAGGGGCTTCTGTAAGCTGGCTTTTACAACTGAGTTGAGAAAAGATAAAGTGCAGTCACCTGTGTGCCAGTCACCTCTGTGACAAGGCCAGGACATGGATGGATGCCCTTGTCCTCCACACTGTAGCCCAGCCCAGTGTGCCCTGCTTTCTTGTTCTTGTCTGCACACATGCACATTACTGCCTTGCCCTGACAGCATCACAAACAAAAGACATTTGTTCCTTCCACTGGTATCAAAGGCTAAAGCTGCCTGAGCTACCAGGACCATGCTCAGTGGTTCCTGCTACCCTTCTCTCTCTTCGCATCTCTAATCCTCCAGGAGTTGGACAAATAGGAACAACTGTAACCCAGATAGGAATTGGAGCCTGCCTCTCCTGGTATTAGGCAACAGAACATTTTAATGATGGAAAGGGTTAGCTGAGATCAGATTCTATCAGTCCCTGACCGAAACATTTTCTTCCAAGAAAGGAAAAGTTCTCATTTGTAAAGCCACTGTAATTACAATATTCTTCATGGTGTTCCCATTACTCTCCATAAAGCTGTTTGTCTTCTCCCATAATTTTCAAACAATGTGGTCACAATGGAAGAATTTTATGACCTAAGCACACACCAGAATATTTAGATTTTAAGTATCATTTTATTTAATAAGAAGTTAGTAAGTAAAATATAACTTTTTCTATAAGTCATGCATAGTTAGTCTTCCTTTTGTGTTGGCTATCCTTGGTTATCAACATGACTACGACCAGAATGAACTAAAACCAAAGTGGCTGGGGACAGCTGTCAGGATTTTTTTTTTCTTAATTGAATCATTTAAAGTTGGAAGACCGACTTATAATCCAGAACTTTGAGATGGGAAGAGTCATCTTTAATCTGGGCTACACCTTCTCCTGTGGCCTACATAAAGGACATGGATGAAGGAAGCCTATACTTTTTGCCTGCTTGCTCTTGCTCTTACAAGCACGCCTACTCCTTCACAGCATTAAAGCCTACTTCTTTTGAACTCTGGCATATACTAAAGACCAGCTGAGAAATCCAATATTGTACCTCACTGAACTTCCTTTTTAGGAATTAGTAGAACAAGTATATTAAATGCTACAGTTAGCCGAGTGGTAGTGGCGCACACCTTTAATCCCAGCGCTTGGGAGGCAGAGGCAGGCGGATTTCTGAGTTTGAGAGTTCGAGGCTAGCCTGGTCTACAGAGTGAGTTCCAGGACAGCCAGGGCTATACAGAGAAACCCTGTCTCGAAAAACAAACAAACAAAAAAATAAAAAAAAACAACAACAACAACAAAATGCTAGAGCTATCGGTTGTATAATGAAAAATAGCATTTTCCATTTTCCATAGGTTTAGAAAAAAAGAGTTCAGAATTAATTTGGCTATAAACAATTAGTAATAGGCAGAAGTAAGTTTAAAATTAATAGCGTTGGTTAAAAAAAAATTCATCCAAGTATCAGTACATTATATGCTTATTTATGTGCCATGGTAAGAGTTCAGAAAAAAACTGCAAACTCCTTAGCTGTCTACTAACCCTGTACTATTACTGTGAGAACAACGCTACTTAATAGACAGGCTGGATACCACTTTGGTAGACTACATGATCGTTGGGGCAGGTACCCACATTTTTAAGATCGTCTAAATTAAAATAATTTCAAAAGTTAGAAATACAGCACATGACACTCATGTTTATAAATATTTGCTAAGAAATTACCATGAATTTGATATATATTACACACACACAAACACACACTCTTCTGTGAGCCCCAAATACATATATCCTATTGAATTTTACACACGCTTTGAGTCCTTGCATGGTTTAACAATTCACTTCTTCATGAGTTTGTTTACATCATTGAAGCCAAAATCTAGTTGAATGACAACATAAAGATTTAAGTTTGAAAAGGTAAAATGAACATTTTCAGTATTTTTTTTTTATCTACATGAAGTTAAGTCCAGGGAAATGTTGTATTTTGGTTGATAAATGAATTTTATATTTGTCAACAATAAAGACTCCTAGCCTCCTTGTAGAGAGTTGAGAGAGAAGACATTGAACAGGAACTTGAGGAGACTTGAGTAATACAAGAGGTGTTAGAAGGTTACCTCACGTGTGCTAAGGCCCGCGGGGTTTAGTCACCAGTACTGAGAGGGGAGAAGGAGAAATGGATTTGAGGAGAGTTGAAGCAACAAATTTGAATGAAACACAGAACTGAACACTGCACAGCTTGTTTTCAGGAACCCGAAGGACGGGAGCAATCTAAGAAAGGAAGGCGTGTAAGAACACAGATGAGAAGTCAGGGCACCTCTGATCCTCACACATCCAGCTTCAGCAGCCTGGTGTCACTGTTCATCCCGTGAGCCAAACACAATCATGTCTCAGGCTGAGCTGGGATTCATTTTCCTCACACAGCCCTGTGACTCCCTTTTTCACCTCCCTTAGGTCTCTGTACAAATGTCACCTCACCCAAGAAGCCTTCTCTGAGGACAGAACCTAAAATAGCAATTCCTGGTCCCAAGCACAGCCACACCCATGTTGCCTTCCTGGCCCAGCAGATCTGTTCTTTGTGAACTTCTGAGAACTGGCATTATTCTTCACTATCCTCCAAAAGCAGACACTGTATCTTTCTATGGCTTACAAAGGTCTCTAAAAATACTGAATATCAGTATGTATGTAACAAAAACACATGAAATTTAAAACCCAAATATGAAACAGAATTTAATAAGTAGGCTACGTGTAGTGACAATAATATGTTCCCATTTTCTACAAAGAGGGCAGCAAGATAATGCATGGAATAAAGTACTTCCATATAAAAAGACATACACTCTCCAGTTCTTCCCTACTTTGATTCATTATCTTTCACATAACAGCCCGACTAGTTTGACTGCTGAACTCAGTCTCTAAAACTGTACCATGTGAACAGGACTTTTTACAATATTATGAGATATTCTAAATTTCTACATTATTTAAACTTAATTTTCACTCCTGGAAATTATACTGAATGACCTTAGCTGTTCCAAACACATGTCTGACTTATAAAAAGTTACTAAAGTCATAATGGTAGCATCTGTAAAGAAAAAAAAAATGAAATCATTTAGGGAGTCAAGGGGGGATGGGGAGGAGCTGTACAGGGGGGAGGGGGCTGCGGTTGGGGCGTAAAGTAAATAAACAAATTAATGAAAAAAAATCTCATAAATTTTCCATGTCTCTCAATTTGGATGGTCAAAAACCTGAAAATTAATATTCCCTGTTAGCCAATAACTGCAAGACAGTGAGAGCCATGGCTGCCTCCTCTCCTACGACTAAGGAGAATTTCAGCACAGAAGCGACTTAGCGCTTGAGTACAGTACCAGCCTGGGAAGCAGAAGCTGCACTTCGAAAAGAACGGAAGTAGTGTGGAAAGTGACCCAGGCCACTCCATCCATGTCTATTAGACCTAACCGGCCCTAAGCACCCTCCTGGATCTCATCAGCTCTATAGTTTCAGGCAATAGAAACTTCTAGACAGTTATAACTTCCATTGAATTGCTTTCTTGTTTAGGAATGGGAAAAGATAAGTATCCTTGGAGGTGAGAACAGAAACTGCTCCCTCCACCATCCAGGCTATAAACAACCTTGGCCAAGCAGCCAGCAGTTACTGAGTCCTAGGGTGGGACCTCCAGGTTTTTCTCATTCTGAATACAAAGAGGGGAGACACCTACAGCAATTCAAATGTTTGAAGAGTCTAGTACTTAATTAGAACCTGAGTTAATGCATTGCGTCAGTTTCTCTAGAGGTAAATAAAGCTTTATTACTTTCTACTTATGATTACCTACCCAAATCCCTCTTATCTTTTCATCCATATTTTGATTGCTCAACTGTGGTGCATCTTACTCTGATAGACATATACTGTTTTTGTCCTGTTTTTAAAAAGTTTAAAACAATTTAATAGTTGTGGTATAAAAGTATTGCTATTAAATTTCAAACTGAGCAAAACCCTTGGTATAAGTCATGGCTAAGACAGTGTGTGCCAAGACCCAAAAACCATCACAGTTACTCTTTTGACTCTTAAGTACAATGACAATGGCCAATATCGTGCATTGTAATTTAGTCTAATTTAGTTGTATATGTGGTAGGGGTTGATGCGTGTGCAGAGGTTCAGAGGCACATGTCAGGCATACTCCCCAATTACATCCCAGGCGAGTCTCTGAGACAGGGTCTATAATTAAACTTTGCTCTAGGGTGGAAGCCAACAAGGACCTCCTCTTGTCTCTCCCTTCAATGGTACTGGAATTATACAAGCTTTGCATGTGGATTTGGGGATTTCAGATTCAAACCCCCATGCTTGTGCAGTATACTCTGAAACAAAAGATGATACTGTCATGATCTCACTTACTTTTATTCTCAATATAAGTTAGAAGCAGGAGGCATTCCTTTGAAAATGTGCATGCTAACATGGGTCATGATTAGACAAGTTATGAAAAAGTCTAGAGGTTTTGCTAATTATATTGCAAATAATTTGAGCCTTTTTCCAAGAATACACCACAGTTTTAAATTACAACAGCAAATGCTACCAAAGGGCAGCCAGTTCAGCAACTCTGAAGTTCAGAGTACAAGTTACCATGAAATTGTAACTTTTTCTCTCAAAAATAAAGGGAAAAACTAGAAATATGAGATGGGTACACTATTCAAAGTATTGAAAAGGTAATTAATTCTTCAATATTACAGATATAGGTCCAAATATAAATGTTCTTAATATCAAGTAACATAACTTCTAATTGCCCTTGATTGTCAAAAGACGCATAACTAAAAATTCAATGGTAGCCCTAAGTGGGATTGCTAGAAAGCATTATGGCTTCTTTTTCTCTAAAAGTGGCACTCGGGCACAAATAGTTATATTTGCACTGACATCAAGGCAGTAGCATATACATTGAGCATATGAGTTTTTAATACAGAGTAGAGAAATTTTTTGTCAGTACTGAGGCTAGTAGGCTGAAAACATGACTTCATTTACCCTTAAGCTTTGGCTAAGGAGAAGAGAAAAAGTAATAAGTTACTAAAAATAAAACTGCCATATTTGAAACAAACTATGGGAAGGTTTCAAATGGCAAGGTACTGCAGATAAAATTGAGAACATACTAAAGAGTGAGGGCATTCGGTCCACATCAATGCCTGGGAAATTCCTCACTCAGAGAAGTCTGCGCTTAGGCCCTCATTTGGAATTCTGAGTGCTCCATGACAATACTCATACGATGAGGAGAATCTAGAGCCTTGGGCAGAGTCTCTCATGTATCTTAAGTGTGCATGTGAAAGAGTGAATCTTTCATGTTCTGCACTGAATGAAGGTGCACATGAGAGAGCATGGTGTCTCTCAACAACTCTCTCAAGATTTTACTGTGCCTTTTCATTTTGAATAGCAGAGGATTTTGATTACATGATAATAAGCTTCACTTCAAAATTTTATTTTCAATGTGTAGTGTGGGAGGAATGTGTTATAGTACACTAAACATATAAACTTATACTCTCAAAGCAATACTTAGCTTCTACTGAAAATTGACAAACACAAATAACTGCCCTCTTAAAATTCTATACTTTTTGTGAATATGATTCACACAGTTCTTTATATATTTCAAAGTCTGTATAAGGTATTCATAAAACGATATATAACTTAAAATTGTCTTTAACCTAGAAAAAATTGTCACTAATAAAAACTTATATTCGTTTACTTTTATAGTTGTGCTTCACCTAACTTAATGAGTAAAACAAATACATTATCAACAAAAAAAAGTTTAGTTCATGTCTATAACATTAAGAAGACAAACTTACTTGCGTCTGCTTGGCTCCCGACACTGATGTACCTGTCGTTGCCTGGAAGTGCTGTCTGGTAATAGCCAGTCTCCTCCTGTGGGGGCGTCTTGGCATTCTTTGCAGTGAGGAAGGCTACTGCTAATTCCAAGTTTCCATTACTATCCTTCAAATATCAAAAAAAGGAACATGCAATGAATTTGGAGTAATGGTATATAATCACACAAAATGTACGTAATTTTATCCATAATGTTTTGTAGCAAAAATCACTTTGATCTGAAAATATTTTAATACAACTCTAACTAAATAGTAAAAATTCACTACCCAAAGACTATAATACATTTCTTAAAATAATATTCATTATTTGATATTCATTATTAAAACTTCTAATTCCAGTGATATAATCAGTTGCCTATTTTGTTTGTTTTTTATTACTTTCTTATCCATTTAGAAAAATCCTATCATGAGCTTCCAATTTGAAACAAATGAGTAATCTAGATTCTGCACTTCCCAGGGGGGTTCCATAAGAGTGAACTGTGACTAGTTAAAATACAACTTCTTTACCATGGATCCTGGATGCACAGCTAGGAACAAACTGAAGCAAAATATCAAGGATTCTTAGGTCATCAGATGTATTAGAACTTGACAGTATGGAGAGGCAGGGAGAACTGCTAGGCAAAAATACTGCCATCAAAACAGTAATTATGCACATGTGCATACAAGCACAGGAACACACACACACACACTCACACATACACACACATACACACACACACACACACTCACGCCAGTGCTCACCAAAAGCACATCTAACCATAATACGTAAAAGTTCATTTAGATTTTGAAAACGCAATGAGAGGAGGCTTGCTCAGTTTTATCTTTAGATTCTCTAAGGGACTAATGATAGGTAAAATGTAATACTAGCTCAAGACAGCTAACTGAGACAGCACAATGAACTCAGATACTAATCAAGCCATCTCTCTATCAGAAGCCAGAATGTAGAAGACAGCAGAGTTTGAGAAAAAAGTCAGTAGAGACTTTGGACATCATAAGATGTTCACGTTAAAAAACTTGTGTTGGTTATGCATTAAAAAGAAAACTATAGAAGCAAAGTCTGATAAATCATTTCTAACCTATTAAAGATAAGACATGATTCCAGGATCAAGATAACTGCAAAATAACCAACAGCCAAAAGGATGAAGACACAATTCCTGCCCCAGGCTCACTCTAGCAGGGAGTTGGGAAGATGGGAAGGCAACAGTGGCTTTGAAGTGTGACTTCTTTATGTGCATAACGAGATTCCTAAGTGACTTACTCATCCCAGATACACGTTTAAGACAGGCCACTGTTAGGTAAGTACACTACTCATATAAAGAAGTGCAGTGATGGCAGCTAACACTGATGAAGCATTTACTATGTGTCAAGAAATATGCTAAGAGTTTTGAATGCCCTGCTTCATATAAATGAAACCACAAACACAGCAGGAATTTTACAACCTGGTGCCTATTTAGCCTGTATGACTAAGTATAGATTTTCTTTAGGTTTGGATCTAAAATGTAATTCACAGGCTTCTGGGTTTGAAGATCGGTACCCAGCTGATGGTAACATTGGTGAGGCTGTGTGACTTTCTCAAGAGTGAGGCTGTGTGAGCACAGTGAAGTGTGGATGGGGAGGGTCTCCTATCTCTCCTTCCAAGTCTGCTAAGCTGTGAGCAGGCACCCTCAAGCTCCGACCACTGTGACTGTGACTCCCCACCACGAGACAGTACTCTTAAATTGTGAGCCAAAACAAATCTTTACTCCTCTCTGTGACTTTTTGAAAGTGATGTGTATGTGTGTATATCTATGTATGTGTGTTTATGTGTACAGGAGTGTAGTCCCTGTGTGTGTGTGTCTATGTATGTGTGTTTATGTGTACAGGAGTGCAGTCCCTGTATGTATGTCTAAAGTATGTGTGTTTATGTGCAAAGGAGTACAGTACCTATGGAGGCCAGAAGAGGGGAATCTGACCCAGTAGAGCTAGAGTAAGCCAAAGATGTGTTAGAAACCAAAATGTAGTCCTGTGCAAGGGCAGTCAGCGCTCTTCCCACCGAGCCACCTCTCCAGCTATCCTAAGTTATGTTTGTCAGCTTTTTGGTCATGGGGTTAAAGAATGTAGCTAACGGCATTTTCGAATTATGATGATGAAGTCAGAAACTGTGGTTCCCAACACATGGGACTTCTTGGTATGTTGCTAGGAGAATCAACTCATTACTAAATCCCTTGAGAAATCAGAAAGGCCATCAGTTAGGGTTTAAGTGCCCTATTTACTCTATCACCAAACTTGAAATTAAAGTTTGTGAAGAAGAAAATCCACTTACAATAAAGGAATGTGGGCAAAACTTAATTGATCTATATTTCTCAAATTTAAAATAGGGAGGGAGTTTCCTCCAAATGTACAATAGCAAAGTGATGGACTACATCCTCATCTTCTGTGACCTCCTACGAAAGATATTTTCTGAAAATAGACTTGGAATGGGTTAGTCACATTTTTATCAGAAAGAAAGAAAGAAAGAAAGAAAGAGAGAGAGAGAGAGAGAGAGAGAGAGAGAGAGAGAAAGAAAGAAAGAAAGAAAGAAAGAAAGAAAGAAAGAAAGAAAGACAGACTAGCAATCGTCTGACTGTCATACTCCTGAGAATTGAGGCACTGCACTCGCTTCCCCTAAAGACAGAAAGCACAGCTCTGTATCAACACCTTCAGCAACACCAGCTCATCAGTGTCCTTCTGGCAAACAGGACAAACCAAAGCTCCCAGCAATGCGGCAGACACAGCCTTATTCAGGCACTTGCCGACAGTTGCTGCAGCTTCCATTCCAGCTCTTGTAATTTGGGTGGATTACTTATCATTTTGGTTTTCTTATCTTCAAGTGGGTAATGGAAGTATTTATCTCTTGTAAATATAAGAATAAATGAACAAACCCACATGAAGAACTGAAATGCTGGTTATTGCTTTCATTGATGATATTTGTTTTAACCATCAAAAACTTTTAAAAACGGTAAATTATTTCTGGAAATTAAAGCCCTCTAGCTCAGAATCAGAGACCATTTTAACTTTTTCTCATGGATAAGTTACAAAGGCTCAGGTCTCTGCATGTGACTATGGTGATAAAAATGTTCCATACAAATGAGCTCAAAATACAGTTCTATTTCAAGAATATACTTCATTGGCTTGATCCTTCTCCCTATGTACTAGCCATGGGATTTGACTCATCTCAGCAGTTCCATAAGGAAATAAGAGTGTATCTAGGATACAATCAAAATGACACATTGGCGTTTTTGCACATGCTACTGAAATTTGAGGTGGAATATCATTATGCTATAACTACCTAAATGAAATTACTATGAGTAACATGATAGCTGAAAGCAATATATATTTCTCAGTCTCAGAAGGAAAAGGTGTAAGCTTTGGACTCTGCTGATTCTCTAATCTGTTTTCCTTCTTCACATTGGATTCTAACCCACACACTGAACCTCATTCATATACTAAAACATGGTTGAATAAATAACATTATGCCCTAATATTCTGCAAGAAAAGTATCTGATATAGAGGGATTACACATTACTCCAAGGCAGTATGAAATTTATTATTTACAATTACAACACACAAAATGAAGCTCTCACTTATACGAGATTGCTTTCCACTGTCTCTACTGATATCATATGGTTTAACTAATACAGTATTCAAGAAAGACAAAAATACAACACAAATTTAAGCTATAACTAAACGCCATACCTTCAGGGCTTGTTGGAGTATCTGAGCATCATTAATCCCAGTAATTTCTCTCAGCTGATTCAAAAATGTCTGCTGGTGCTAGAGGGCAGAAAAGAAATCAGAATAATTGTAGTAGGAACAATGAAAATATTTTATAAAGATATTTTATTTAAAAAAAGAAAAAGAGAAAAAGAAAGAGGAGAGAAGAAGTAAATCTTGGAAGATACAGAATAAAATGCCACTCTCTTGAACAAGGAAAGACACCACACATCAGGGAGACCTGCCACTACTCACACATTTCATCACATCCTTTTTCTTTAAGACTATGTAGTCTTGGCTGATCTGGAATTCATGTAGACCAGTCTGGCCTTGAACTCACCAACATCCACCTGGGATTAAAGGTGAGTGCCATCACACCTGGACTCTTGTTTTTCATCCTCAGCGTCTACACTGTTTCCCAAGCAGCTTCACTGAACTAACAGTTTTCATCCTGTCTTCATCTTCCCAGAGGATGTCTCAGCAAGAATCCAAACCTGTCTATAGCTGGGCACACCTCCTGAGATGGTCAGGAGATGTGCATGTCACAGGCTGCCTAGTAAACCAGTAAATATATCTCCAGGTCCAAGGATCCAGTCAATGACAAGAAGACCACCTGATTCTCCAATCTAACTGCCATAAATAAGCCTCAATTGAATTGATTTGGTCCACTTCTGTCACTTCCCTCCACTGTTTGTGAGTCTAGGGAACGTCATAACCTAGCACAAGACTTTACTACCAATGCTTGCAAAGATCAACAGTCCCCACTACATGTCTTTTTATTTTATTTCTTAAAATGTGATTCTCTCAAACTGTACAACAGCACTATGAAATAAAGTACAGAAAAAATAAGATAGAAAACCCACCAACAATGGAGGGGTGTTTCTTTTTCTCCACATCTTCGCTAGCATCTGCTATCACCTGAGTTTTTGATCTTAGCCATTCTGACAGGTGTGAGGTGGAATCTCAGGGTTGTTTTGATTTACATTTCCCTGATGACTAAGGATGTTGAACATTTCTTTAGGTGCTTCTCTGCCATTCGAGTTTCCTCAGTTGAGAATTCTTTGTTTAGCTCTGTACCCCATTTTTAATAAAGTTATTTGGTTGTCTGGAGTCTAATTTCTTGAGTTCTTCATATATATTGGATATTAGCCTTCTATTGGATGTAGGATTGGTAGAGATATTTTCCTAATCTGTTGGTTGCCGTTTTGTCCTATTGACAGTGTCCTTTGCTTTATAGAAGCGTGGCAATTTTATGAGGTCCCATGTGTCCCATTAAGATCAATGGCTTGATCTTAGAGCATAAGCCATTGGTGTTATATTCAGGAACTTCCCCCCGCTGTGCCCAAATATTCGATGCACTTCCCCATCTACTCTTCTATTAGCTTCAGTGTATCTGGTTTTATGTGAAGGTCCTTTATCTAACACTCCTCCATTGTTGGTGGAATTGCAAGCTGATACAACCACTCTGGAAATCAGTTCGGCGGTTCCTCAGAAAATTGGACATAGCATTACCTGAGGACTCAGATATACCACTCCTGGGCATATACCCAGAAGATGCTCCAACATATAACAAGGACACATGCTCCACTATGTTCATAGCAGCCTTATGTATAATAGGCCGAAGCTGGAAAGAACCTAGATGTCCTTCAACAGAGGAATGGATATAGAAAATGTGGTACATTTACACAATGGAGTACTACTCAGCTATTAAAAACAATGAATTTGAGAAATTCTTAGGTAAATGGATGGAACTAAAAAAATATTATCCTGAGGACACCCAGTCACAAAAGAACACACATGGTATACACTCACTGATAAGTGGAAGTTAGCCCAAAAGCTCGAAATAGATACAACTCACAGAACACATGAAGAAGGAAGATCAAAATGTGGGTGCTTCAGTCCTTCTTAGAGGGAGTAACAAAATAATGGAGCAAATATGGAGACAAAGTATGGGACAGAAACTGAAGGAGGGGTGGTCCACAGACTGCTCCACCTGGGTGTCCATCTCATGTGCAGTCATCAAAGGCAGAAGCCGATGTGGATGCCAGGAAATACATGCTGAAAGGAGCCTGATGCAGCTGTCTCCTTAGAGGTCTGCCAGAGCCTGAAGTATAGAGAGGTAGATGCTCACAGCTAACCATTGAACTGATCATGGGGTTCCCAATGGAGGAGTTAGAGAGAAGACTGAAGGAGCTGAAGGGGTTTGTGGCCCCTTGGGGAAAGCAACAATACCAACTAACCAGAGCTCCCAGGGTCTAAACTATTAGCCTAGGAGCACATAGGGAGGGACCCATGGCTCCAGTTTTACAGTTAGGGGAGGATGGCCTTGTTGGGCAAAGGTGGGAGAGGAAGTCCTTGGCCTAGTGAAAGCTGGATGCCTCAGTGTGGGGGAATTTGTGGGTGGAGTGGTAGGAGTGGCCCCCCCCCCCCGGGGGGGCACATCATCATGGAAGCAGGAGGTGAGGGGATGGGATGGGTGTTCCTGGGTAGGGAGAAATGGGGTAAGGGGATAACATCTGAAATGTAAATAAAATATCCAATAAAAAAACTAATTTCAAAAAAAATAAGAACACAAGCCTCATTGCTAGAATAATGTAGGCCTCCTGAATTATTACTTCAAAATGGTTTATACTTTACTCAGTACCAGTTCTGATGGGAATTTGTGGGTATTCTAAACCTACTGGGCAAAGTATGCTGAAAAACGGAGTATTTGCAACATTTCAATCTACAAATGAGAAAAAGTAGCTCTGCACTGGGAAACTAGCTAGCCTCCTCATTAACCAGGAAATCCAAGTTAATATCACTGGTGACAAGACAAAGTGGCAGTATACACCTGCTAACACACTGCATCCTGTGACAGTTTGACAAAACTACAAAACCTGAATCTAATCTTGAAGACTGATCCGACAACCTCAAACAAGCAATCCAGAACAAATTAGTTGTTCTGTCATCGTTAAGCTGTCTAGACCACCAAAGAAAAAGGGTGAGTCTCTGCCAGAAAAAAAATCCAGAAGTATTGCCCCAAAGCACAACCAAAAAGGCTAGCCGACACTACTGTGTGCCCTGAAGAGTGCTAGTGGAGGTGACTGGAGAAGCAATGGAAACTGCTCAGTGGACGACAATGTGTTAGTGTCATGTTCCTGAATTGGATTATAGTAGGGGAACATATTTTTCCTTAGAAAATACCCTTGAAATGCTTAAGAGACAGAGTGGTCAGAGTGTACGATACCCACAAGTGATTCTAAGATGCTTCAGTTTAAAAAAAAAGAAAAAGCCATGAAAGTTCTTTGCATTAATATCTCCAAATCTAATATCCCATGAAAGTTCTAGAAAATCCAGCCAAGGACAGAGGGACTTGCCTTCCTTAAAAACTTCTTTAAGACGTCTTCTGCTTGTACAGACTAAAGTGTCAAGCCACTCTTTCAGAGTTCAGAAAGTAATTTCTGGTAGGCAGAATCCACTATAACAGTGAAATCAGTGATGTATTAATTCTTTCAAAGAAAAGAGAAAAGGCAACAAAGAGAGGAAGCATTACACTGATACTGTTAGGCCATGTTGGATCGCCTGTGCCATCTAAGAACTTCATTTCCATAAAAATATTATTAAGGAACCAAGAAGCACCTAATAACACAATAAATGTTAAGATGCCATCTAAAAGTATGTAAAAGACCAGGAAGTATCCAGCAGCTCAATGAAAGCATCAAACTGACAATCTACAGGTTGCAATAAGAAGATCATATTCTCTTTAAACCTCTCCTATTGATTAGTATTGCAAAAAACTTCAGTAAAACTGACAATGGAATCAATATCCAAGATTAGAAATTAAGAATATATTAAGAAAAATACAGGAATTTTTTTCTATAATGTAACACTTAGTTTAGTCACCATAACATGCTAAGAAAATGCCGCAGGCCTATTTGCAACGTACAGTGCCTACAACCTCTACGTTTTCTTTACATTATTTTTGTCAACAGCAAATTATTTAACCATGCATCTTAGAAAAATTATGGAATATCCCAAGGAAATTTAGTTATTTTGTAGAAATGTTCATCGCTACTCTTCACAATCCTGGAATAAGGGAAAGAATCCAAATGTCCTTGAACCAAGAAAGCAGTTGTCAAACATTAATGTTTGAACAAGATGACCAAAGGTGCATGGAACAATATAAAGACCAACATCCCACCAGAGACTGATTCCAGGAACAATGTGCCTCAAATGACTTCATGCAAATAAACTTAGATGCAGTATGAACAAGGCAAAAACCCTTTTATTTTAATAACAAATGCATGGCTATCAAATATAATGATGCTAGAAAGGGAGCATACCAAATAATACATAAACACATTGATGGTACTTCCTTTCTTGAAGACATATTTCCCTGTGGCAAAGAAGATAGACACTCATCAATGGCACAATCAAGGGTAACAAACAAGCAGAAACGGGATGTAGTTGGAGGGTTGGAACTGCCTTACAGTTCCTCAGATGCTTTACTAGGAAACTTGGGCAGCCCACCTAAGTCCACTTGCTGTCCACCTGCCACCCACCCCCTCACCAAATGGGGCAGATGTGGAAAAGGGCCACTCAGCCTGCCTGCAAATCAGTGATCCTGATTGCTACATCTTGGTATGCAAATGAATACTAAGGTGGCTGTTATGGTACTAGCTGGCCGTCAGAGTTCACTAAGATGTGAACATGAGAAATCATGCAGAGCCTGTGGACTTTTGCTATATATTATAAATGTTCAGTGTTTTCTGTTTTATGAGCAGTCAATCTGAAACATTACCAAAAGAGCACTGTTCTACCGTGACTCATCTTTTCACAAATCTTGACTGGGAGTGAACAAAAGAGAAGACAAGGGGGTGGGACACTGGAAAGGGGAAGGAGGTAAGAGAAAAGCTACAGACAAGTTTCTTAGCTAAACTGACAAGAAATAGAGAAGAGATATTGGAGGCGGCGAGGAGGACAGAGAAAACTGCAGGAGAAGTCACCTGGCTGCAAAGCTGTCCCCTTTGTCATTACCCCACAAGCTGTACTCTCATCTCCTGTAGCAGTGTCCATAT